TGTGGAGCCCTCCTGCTGGTGATCTGTGACAGGGACAATCTGAACTGTGATGACCAGGATAACTGAGCAGCACGTGCACTGCCTGCAAGGTGAAGGGGGCAACGGGGCAGCTTTTGTTCCTAGATTTTCAGCATCGTTGCTCAGCTACCCTTCAGGGATTCTGACCCACATGAGCGGCTCTGAAGGCAGAGTTTCAGCTCCTCATACACCGTGATGTTCCTTCAATCCTACCTCAGACTGGCAGCTGGTCCTCCCCAACATCCCCAGTGCCACCGGGCACACACACAAGGGCAGAGCTCTGGACGTGAGCTGACTCCCCTTTCTCCCCCTCTAGGGGAGTGGAGAATGCCGACATAACTGAAGCACCTACTGTGAGCCGGGCCCTTTCCCAAAACTTCCTGACCATTCAAGCCAGAGGGCAGCATCTCACTTCAGAGGTGAGGATGCTGAGGCCACTGGAGGCACTCCGCCAGTCAGCAGCAGATCCAAGCTTTCCTATTCCAGCAACAAATCCGGCCTCCTCCCCGAGTGCTCTGCGTTCCTTGGCCCTAAGGATCACAGGGACTGAGGAGAGTGGTCAGAGGGGTCCTCAGTTCATCCCCCCAATTTTGGCCAAGATCCAAGCAATTGCCTGTGGCGAACATCATTGCTGGGGCTTGGCACATGGGGTCTAATAACCACAAGATTTAGGGGCTCCCAGGACTGAGGGGCCTGTAGCCCCTACAAGATCCTGAACCTTCTGGCTGAGATGAGCACATCAGAGCCAGAAAGCTGAGGGACCCACAGCAGGAGGGAATGTCCGTGTGGAGAGCCGGGGGACAAAAGGGGTTTGCTGCATCTGCCTGGAATTGCTTTCTCATCACCCGCAACTTCAACCTCACCTCTGGCAGGTACTGGGTGCCTGCTGTGGGCCAGACACCATGACAGGCATGTCACATGGTTCTTGCATCCTCATAGTCTGAAATCAACCGTTTGGAAACGTTATCATCCCCACTCTATAGCTGAGGAAACTGAGGTCCAGTGAGAACAGCCACTGAATTCCAGGGATGTCCTCACCAGGTGGATTCTGAATCCCAGCGCAGGCTGCCTGACTCCTGAGCTCTGCACTGACTCCCTCTGCTAACAGGAGCTGGGGGTCCTCGGGCAGCTCCTGTGGGATCAGTCTTCTATGTGGATTGTTTCAGAGCTGCACGCCCATCCTCTGAAGTAGGGACCTGTGTGGTCCCCATTTTGCAGGTGAGGAAACCGAGGCAGCTCAGAAAGGTGTAGGCCCTTGGCCAAGGTCACAGAACCCACATTTCCTGGGCTCAAGTTGAGGCTGACCTGAATCCCACCGTGAAGAGAGAATTCCTAAAGCCTGCCCCATCCAAACCCCTCATCTTATGGCTGGTGAAGTGGAGCCCCAAAGGGGAGCAGAGGCTCGCCCAGGCCCCACGGTGGTCGTCGGCAGCAACGGGACGCAGGTCTCAGTGGAGTCCCTCACATATAGTTTCCATTTTACAGATGGGCCAATTGACGTGTGGAAAAATCAATGGCACAGAGAAGGCTAAAGGGAGAGTCAGGGTGGTAAACCCAACTTTGGCGCACAGAGCTTCCCGAGACCCCCTCCCCTACCTGCCAGACAGGGGGCAGGGCTTCTGGCTTCAGCCAGCTTGACCCTGAGCCTGCCTCTGCAAGTTCAGATTTTCTGCCATTCCCTCCCTGAGCCCCTGCCCCTGGCCTGTGTGCTGCTCTGCCTCACCTGTGTTAGCTGGGGGGTCTCAGCCAAGGGCGGTATGAAATTGGTGCTGTATGCCTTAAACTTATAATACAGTGCTGCATGTCAATTATCTCTCAATAAACTGGAAGGAATAAATTGCGACTTGGGAGACACAGATTTGGGTAAAACTGAGTGTTTCAAGGACGGGAGTCAGGGGCTTAAAAAGACAAAAAACGAAGAGGCTGTCAAAAGTTGCCTGATGAGAATTGTGACTGACACTGACGTGCCAGTCAGGAAACCTGTGTCCTTAAGGAATCACAGCTTATTTCAGGGTGGGGGCTTGGTCAGTAGCTGAAGTTTCTGGCAGGCGTTCCGGATGACTTCATTAGGGCAATAAATGCTCACGGGGCCGGATTCTCTGTGGGCTGAGATGTGCGTAAGTCACACCTCCTTCGTGAGCCCTCTCGAGCAATGCAGACTCCATTCTTGTTTTTCTTTCACAAAGGCGGTCTTCTGCTGCCGGGAGCGGTGACCCCAGCTCAGCCTGGAGGACGTTCAGGTGAGCTTCAGCTCACTGGCCGGTGCTGGAGGAAGAGCGGCGTTTGCCATCGATCTCTTCCCTGCAGGCGCGGCAGCGCCCACGCCAGCTGAGAATGAGCACAGCTACCTGTGCTCAGGCTTGAGCTGGGGTGGGGGCGGGGAGCAGTCCTCCACTCTTCTAGGCTCATTTGGCTGGTCTAAGAATTAACCTGGCATGAGGCCGACTAACAGGAGAATAAACAAAAATTGAATGACACATATATTTCCTGTGTATACCGATGGAAGACAGCCAGGGTAAACTGAGTGAACTCACCAAGAAGGCTGCAGCCCTCACCTTCAACATCCTCTTCAGCTAAAGACTAAGGAGGAAGCTGCAGGCAGCGGTCAGTACAAAGGTCAGTTACATGGAATGCCCGGAGGAATGAGAAGTTCAGTTAGACAAGGGCTGGAAAGGTGTCACTTTGGTTTAGACGTGGGAGTCATCAGTGACTCGCTGCGTGGGAATGGAGGAAGGGAAGACACACCAGAGTGGGTGGGGACAGACTGCTGGTGGGGAAGCAGGCAAATGTCTCAGGAAGTTTGTCGTCAGAAGTAAGACTGTCTGGTTCACGTGAGAGAGAAGAAACAGAGGGAGATGTTTACAGAGGGAAATCTGAAATCATCACTGAGAAGAAGGTGCAAGTTAACTAAAAGTAGCAGGATCGCTGGGCAGTGTGTGACTTTCTTCAGCAACACTTAGATGCCTGGGGGGATTTAAGGGGGAAGAGTGATAGTCTGTTGTGCAGCTGGGAGTTTTGCCATGTAAGCACACTGAAAAGACAGAAAAAAAGGATCGAAGTAGGAGTTATTAAAAATTTAGCTCCTGGAAATTGTTGAGAAGGAGAGTATTTCCTTTACCATCTTACATTCAGTGATTGGGAACCTGCAAATTAAATTGACTAAACCAGATTACTGTGAGAAAAAAATTACATATGAATACATGCAGGAGTTCACAAAGCAATGGGATTTGAAGGGGTGGCTAGAAGTCGGGGCTTATATGCAATTTAATAAGTGACAGGAAATGGAGAAAGGCATTTTCTGAAAAACAAATGACTTCTTGGTGAGAGGGGAGAGAAAGGGCACTTATGGTAGAACAAGTGACATTTAGGGAAAATAGATAACGCCATAGGAGAATGTATGGGAGAGATGGCAGGTTTGTGACAATGTCCGTTTGAGTCTGGTGCTCGGAACTTGTCTCTAA